AGAGACAGACTGTAAAACGCCATAGTAACCAAGAGCGCCTCACTGGAAAAAGATGTAAATCGCTCCTCCAGAAGCAAAGTGGGAGTTACCCCATTTACCTTGAACAATAGGGGCAATGGAGGAAGGTCAGGGTCCTGCGCACCTTGTTTCTTGTTTGCAGCAGGCCAAACTCAACGGGGAGCCCTCACTTTCAAAGAGGGTGGCTAGGGTTTGCACAGACCCTTCCTCTAGGGTCAGACCTTGCAGCACTCCCCACAACTCCCCGGGAAGTTCTCACAGCCTCCCTCATACCGGGGAGGGGTTCACAAGGGACAAAATTTCCTCAGGAATTCCCACAGCCTCCCTGTCCCCCCCTGGCCCAGGGCAGCTGACCATGTATTTGGCCCTGGCTGGCCTCTGTCCATCCACCTCAGCCCAAACAGGGATACACCATTACTCATCAGGCGGTTCTCCCCAACCCAGGGAGGCAGCCTTGGCTAGAGTGCCTCCCTATAGAGGGCCGCTCCACCCTCCCAGATCAGAGGCCCCAGGGTACCCTGACAGGGCCTCCTGAACCTCAACCCAGGCTCTCGATTCACCTGTCTGCCGTCTTCTACTCAGAAATGTCCAGACCCCAGACAGACCTCCCTCATGTCCTGAAGTAGCTTGGCAAGCGGGCAGTTTGGGGAAAGTGGTAGAGGCCATGGTCCTAACACGCCATCTTTGAGTCCAGCCCAGGAAAAAAGGGTTCTTTTTAAACGAGAAGCAGCGATTCAATCACCTAGCTGTGGAATTTGAACACACTCCCTAGCTGCACGGAGACAACTGATTTAACCTCACGGGGCCATCCATCTCCTCATCTGGAAAGAAGCAGAATGGACACACCTTGCAAGAGTCCCGTGGAAACGAGGGATAACGTGTAAAGTGTCCTGCACAGAGCAGGTGTTCTGGAAACAGCAGTTACCATGAAGACGGAACAGAAGCAGCGATACAGCGGGACAGGGAGGGAAGCTGTTGACGCCCCCTTGGAAAGTTACTTACGTGCTAAACCACTAGACACAAGAGTTCAGCGGCCAAGGTCACCCCTCACCCAGGCCTGGGGGAGGTGGTGGCGGAGACATGGCTTCCATCTAGCCCCAGCCCTCTGGCAACATGAACACTTTGTCAAAGGCGGAGGCACATCCATAGGACAGACGCCAGAGCTGGCACCAACCTTAAAGGCCATCTGGTCAGTGCCCTACTTTGTAGTTAAGGAAACTGGAGCCCAGAGGGGCCAAAACCTTGGCTGCGATTCAGGTCAGCGAACTGCCCATGGAGGAGCTCTTCCCTGTCCACCCAGAGTACGAGTGAGGCTCGCACACTCGGGAGTAGCCCAGGGCCACGGTCACAGGGGTGGCCCGCACAGCACCCCAGGTGTGCTCTCTGGGGGCACACCCATCCTTAGAAGGCACATGCCTTTGCCACTGGCAGGTGTGTGTCTTTAATATACAGCTTCTCCAAAACACAGAGAAGAGGTAGCCGAATAACAAATGCCTCCTGATCACGGTTTCACTCAGTCTCTTTCCTGCCCCCAACCCCTCAACTCCAGCCTGGGGGCTACTCTGCCCTCCGTCCATCCGTCCGTCCATCCATCCATCCATCCATCCAACCATCCATTCATCTGCTACTAGGGCTCCACATGGCAGGGAGGGGGCCGGAGTCAGCGCGCTGCTTCTCCGGGTCAATTCAAGGTGGGAAAGTGTCCTGCTACACACTAGTCAGATAAATAATGACACACTCATGTGCTCTATACACAAGAATATTTGTGAAGGGAACAATCTGAAGATGTAACATTCACACAAAAAATAGGATACAAAACTTCACGTCCAGCTTCCTGCATCCAATACTTTCATAAAGGATTATATATACATGCGTGAAGTGTGCTGTAAGGAAATGCATGCTGACAGGGGTTATCTCTGGGCTGAGAGCCAATGGAGGACCTTTTAAAAAACAGTTCCTGGATTTTCTAGAACAAACATGCATTATCTTTACCTCTACAAAGCCAAGGATTTTCTGGTTAAGGTACAGCAGAAAGGCGACCACCCTCTGCATTTTTCTTCCCGTGCTCCAGAAGACCATATTGTGGCAAAGACGAACGAGCAACCCATTCTCCCAGGCAACGAAGAAGCTGGACAACACTGATCTCCTCCCTAACATCTGGTCTTTCCCCAGACTTTACCACGGCAGCCTCGCCACCTCCAGGCCTGGAGGCCAACACTGGATACACAAGGCGTGAGGCCCATGTCCGACCAAGCTCCCCTCCCAGGTCCTGGGGGGGGGCAGCCTGTGCCAGCCTCAGAGCCCTGACATTCCCCCCCCAGCCCTCCCCCAGCCACTGGAGTTGGGGAACAGGTGGGAATACTTGCAGAAACACTGGTTGTCTTGCCAGTCTCCAACTAAACAGCGTCCCAAACTCAAAGCAACAGCTGTAAACCAGCCAAAGATATCTTTGGTAGAAACACGCATGTGACCTACACACACACTGCTTTGGTCTCTTTAAAAAAAATTATTTGGCGGGCACCTGGGTGGCTCAGTGGGTCGAATGTCTGACTTCAGCTCAGGTCACAATCTCAGGGTCCCAGGGTCTTTGAGCCCTGTGTCAGGCTCCCCACTCAGTGGAGAGCCTGCTTCTCCCTCTCCCTCTGCCCTTCCCCCACTCATGCTCTCATGCTCTCTAATAAATAAAATCTTTTAAAAATTATTTTTATTTTTATTGCTTTGTCAAGTAGATACTAATGGAGAGCACATAAAAATTTCCAGGGCAGTAGGGCAGGGACACAGGTAGGGGTGAATGTGGGAAGTGTCCCTATGCAAAAACTCAAAAGATTAAGACCCAGCCAGCTGGGTTCAAATCCTGGTGCTCTAGTCACCGAAGGCACCTAACAGGACAAGTGGCTTAACTCCCTGAACCTCAGTTTTCCATTACTGTAGCTGGTAAAAATAATAGCTACTTTTGTGTGACTGCAGCTGTAAAGAGACATTGCATATGACACACTTTATGCTCATCAATAACTCAGAGGCTTGTGGCGCCTGGCTGGCTCAGCTGGACGAGTGTGTGACTCTTGATCTCGGAGTCATGAGTTCAAGCCCCATGTTGGGTGTAAAGATTACTCAAATAAATAAAACCTTAAAAAATTAAAATTAAAAATAACTCAGAGACCAAGGTAGGGGAGGCCTCTCATTTGGCAAACCCCGTGTATGCAGTGGGACTGGGAGCAGCCATCGAGGTGCTGAGGGGACAGGTGACAGGCATGGCAACACACACCAGGCCTCCAGGCACATGAGGGGCAGCCTCCAGCCAGGCTCTTTCTTATGCTGCTTTCTCCAATAGATAGGAACAGGGCATTCATTTCATCCAACCCCCGTGCATGCACCAAGTAAGAGTCTAGACTTGATGCACAGCCACTTGAACACCAAACCATGCAGAATTTTCCCTGAAAACCCGAAATGACATCTATCCCACTCTGCAGCAAACGTTCCTCCAAGCCCCCCATTTCCAGCCCCAGACCTAAAGGCCCCTTCACACACCCCAGGAATGAATCTGGACCGCCCGCCTACCTGTCTGCCCAATGCGTGGCTGAGGTTACAGCTCTGAGCTGGTGCCAGGACCCCTGCCCCTTCACCAGCCAGGCTCAGAAGACACAGCTGCTGACACACCTCCCTGCTCCCACACAGCCGCCTTCACGGCCAGGGGCACCCGAGGCTCCCACACCTGAAGCAGCTTATCCCGTGTCTTTAATTACTGCTGAAACACTGGAGGCTCAGGTGTCTACAGAATGGACATCAAGGGCATCCATACCAGAAGCCAGGGTCGGTCCTGATCAAGTTACTGTCAGGACGGGCTGGAAAGCCCAGGCTGACGACTGTGAGTTAAGCTGGCTCTGGAGGGGATGCCTCTCAGGTTCTCCATCTGTAAATGGGGACGCAGTTAGTCCACGAACCCACAGTTCATCCTTAAAAAGGAAATACTCATTAATTCAGCAGACAGGAGCATTTCATCCAGCTACCAAAGGGCTGAGGTCTGCTGCCAGGGCTGGACAGCAGACCCCCGGGCCAGACGGCGAACCCTTAGCTTAGCGGGTTCTGAGCCTGGCTCTACTCTATCCTACCTGACTGGCCCTGGACAGCCACGTTAGCTCTGTGGGCCGAGTTTCTTCATCGATAAAATGTAGGGTGGGTACTGGCCTGTTTCTGTTTCCTCCAGCTTCAAAAGCTTGATTCTGGGAGTCTCCTCACGGCTTTAAAACGGCCAAGCACCGCTGATAGCGAAATTGCCGGCTCCAGGCCCGACCTGCGGGCGATTCCCCACCGTGGCGGTCAGACCCTCGCCTACCCCCTGCCTCGAAGGCCCACCGGCCCGGGAGCCAAGGCGGCCCCAGCGCGGGAAGAACGCCGTGCCCGAGCCTCCCAAACCCACGTGAGCTGCTCCTTTAAATGCCCGGTCCTCCTGCGGGCCGCGCCGCGCCGCGCCCACCACTAGCGTGCTCGGGCCGCTGGGAGGCGGACACAGCCCGGCGTAGGCCCAGGCCTGGGGGCCGCTTCCCGCGCTCCTCCCACACACGAGGTCCCGGTTGGCCCCCGCCGCCGCCGCCGCTTCCCCGCGCGCTCCCCTCTCCGCCCCTGCGCCGCTCGCAGAGACCGGACAGGCGCGCTCAGGGACCGCAGCCCCGCGCCGGAGAAGGG